AATAAGAGCATAGAGGAGGAAGAACACCAAGTGGCCTCCAGGTGAAGATGCAGGCCCCCTTCCCTGCACAAGCATATTCTCTGGTTCTACTCGAGGGAGCGTTTGACTTGGGTGTCTCCCGCGTCCCAAAAAACCTCTCCCGAACGCTTGAAATACGGCATAGCACTTCGTTTAGAGGCTGCCGGCCGCACCATAATTACTTCCTGTCTCCGCACCGGTTCGATTTCATGTACTGGGGTTGAGGAGGCGACGCAGACACGCACACGCAGTATGCACGCACACCCAGCAACGGCAGTCGGGGCACTGTCATCAGGGTGCAGCTGTCACGAAGCTCACCACGCGAAAACAAGCAGTATCTACCTGGGGACAGTGGAGTTCGTTGGGTGGAATTGGAGAACTGTTGCGCCACAGTAAATTACATAAGGCCGCTTCAATCGAAAAATATTTGCTCGCAAGAATTTTCCAGGAAACGTTTTCATCTCAAAATCTGCTTCCTTCAACGGAAATACTTGGACCCCAGTCCGATATTTTGAATAATAGCAAGAATCAAACTGTTGAGAGGAATCTCGCAGGTGATGTATGTGCCAAACACAAAATAAATCTCCCACTAGGGGCGCAAAAAAACAACACCTGTGTCCGTGTGTGTGCGAGCCTTTCTGATGGTCAAATAAATCCCAGGAGATTCGGAGCCCATTTCCCCAACTAGGCACCATATTCCAAGCCAACACTTTTGCCCAAGAAGTATCACAACTCCTTCCCGCTCAACCCGTGCTCAATGCGTCGAGGTACCAGGGGATCTGCGCCGAACTTGAAGTCGGGAAGCGCCCTCCCCCACACAAGAAAAAGACAGAGGCGTCATTTTGTAGAAAGAGTTGTGCTGCTGCTGATGGCGACGGAGAGGGGGACAGAAACATGGACGACGGGTGAGGTAGACACAAACAAGGGAGAAGAGGACAGGAGGATGTGGCGTATGCTACTGCTACTCGCTGATGGCGGAGGAAGCGAAAGGATAGAAACGTTTGGTTGTTGGTCTCAGCTCAGTCGTTCGTTGTGTTGGGGGTGTTTTTCACGAGCAGCGAGCTTTTTTCGTGATCAGCGACCTTTGGAGAGACGCACGCCACCGCGTTCCTAGACACCACCATTGTTGATTCACGACTGCCGTACTCCTCTCTACACTTGTGTGCGAGAGTTCATAGCTTGTACTGATAGACTGCTGATAGATGACAGCGGAGGAAGCGAGAGGAGAGAGGCATTTGGTCTCAGTTCAACCGGCGTGTTGCGCGTTTTCACGAGCACTTTTTCATGTGATTGGCGACATTGGAGAGAGACACAACACCAACACGCTCCTAGACAAGTCCATTGTTGCTGCATGAATCGCTGTACACCTACCTCCCAAGCAACTTGTGTGCGAAGCTCTTCAGTACTGTGCGACCTGTGGCTTCCTTGCTACTCTGGTCACCCATCACACGCTTTTGTGTTGCCTGTCAAAGACGAACGAGTTGAGAAGCAGGGAGCTTTTTCTTTGTTTAGCTGATGACCAAGCTTCTCCGCATGAATCACAGGCGCCCCCCAGAACTCAAAACACAATAAGACAGGCTACGGCATGTTAAGTATGAGAAGCTTTTTTAGGCGAAAAAATGGCGATCTGCTGTCCACTGTAGTACTCTTGAACTCGAATACGAATAATGATTTGATCTGTCGTTCAAGACTCAACCTACCGGCGCGTTCAGCAGTGGATCGTGAAGTGTATCAAACCAGACTGGTGGAGTTTGCGGGCCGCCGCTGCAGCTTGGGCAGCACGGCTCCAGCAAAAGATCTGGACGTTCCAATGGGCACGTCGCTGCTCCATGATGTTCTCTAGTGGAAGTGACGACAAGGTCAGGACTCCGCCACTGAATTACCTTAACATTTAGGAATGAATACCCGCCGTGTCGCCTGGTTTCCAGTGAAGTCTTCATCTTGGTGTGAACACAGTGGTGTGGAGGTATACTACAACAGTATGTTGTTGTTGGAGACGAGCCCGAACCGCTGCTCCGCGTGACATCTCGCGCGTTTCTTGTGTGCTCCCCACTTCCCGACTGGTGTCACTTTTCGATTGGATATGAAATCAGTCTCCAGCAGTACTGCTGTGCAGCAGTAGAGCCAAACAGTTTGGCAAGACACGTGTTGGGACCATGACAGAAAAGCCCAAAAACATTAATGCACCCACATGGACGCATGTAAGCCATGCACCCACACCTTGAAACCGACGGAAATCCGGTGTGGGGAACGAGCGTTACGAACATGTATGTGTTTCTTCCACCTGTCGCTCTACCACAGGCAGGCGCAGTGTTATATCCCTCCAACCGGCAACCTGTACATGGAACCGGCTAAAATCCCTAACGCTAACCCCAACCCTAACCCCTAACCCACCCAAAAGTGCTAGGTTGGCGCTGGGTGGCTCAATTCTAGGTTGGTGTGCCTGAATTGGGGCTAGGTCAGCCCTCGGTGGCGCAGTTCTAGGTTAGTGTGCCGACATTGGCGCTAGGTTGCTACTAGGGGATTGAAGGGCCCCGCCGCCCCCAGTGGGCGCCGGGGCCCGAATGGCAAACCGAACGTAGTTAAATTGACTGATCGGAAATTCTAAGATGTGTGCCGTGTTGGGTTATGGTCGTGCCCAACGTATGGTAGTCTTCGATTTGAGTGATGGTCTCAACGACGCCACTAAGCTCTGGGCGACCCGGTTGAGGCCTCTCAGGGCTGGACGTATGTGGCACTAAGTTGTCTAAACGTCCATCAACCAATGCTTCATCGGGTAAGCATGTTGTAATTTGTGCTGTTGCAGCACTCTTGAGATGGCCATCACTTCTTCCGTGAGTTTTTTTTGCCCGATCCGCAAATCCACAGCTACAACTGGACGGTATGATAACTCTACAGTATCAGCTGGGGCAGATGTAGAACCGAGGAATCTTGGTTACCGTGACACCGCCGAACTGTGGTGTAATGACGTGCGGTAGTTCTGTTGGTTATGAGCGTCAGTCGTTGAGCCTCGATGCAGCTGAATGAGGAGTTCGTTCACCAAAGGACCAAGTTATTGAACTCGGGGTTCCCGTACCAACAACTAACTGTGTTACCCATTGTGCGGGCGTGATTTTATTCGCGATTGTGCCTTTCACGGCAACGTGCAGCCAGATGCCCTGCCTTGTGGGAAAAGCAATGGGCACGGTAACGACAAATAGTCCTTGCAGTAAGCGGATATAGATGACGTTTTTCTCGCCGGTAAGTGTCCTGGTCATTGCTGCCCTGTCACGTCGCATGACCCCTTTCGCGCGTGTGTCGACGGCCATTATTTCTGCAGAAGGAGCATCGGGTGACGACAACGCCAAGGAGTTGGATATCGTTCTGGATCGAGGACTGAGGCGACAGGCGTAAGTTGGATATCGTTCTGGATCGAGGGCTAAGCGACAGGCGCACAAAAAAGAAGGGTTCATTCTTCGAATTTTCGAGTGAGTGTTTTCCAACAGAAAAAAGAATTGTAATGCAGACAATAAATTTCTGATGATATTGCGATCATTGTGTAACCATGCTAACTTATCCTGAGGAGGGAAATGAAACAGATGTTGATGAAACATATACAATTGTTTGGTATCAACAGAAAGGAAGTAGAACTAAATGCAACTCTGTTTGTTCACATCGCACGCACCGGTTGCTCTTCGCAGCTGTAAGGCGGCCAATATACGGCGAAACCTTTTGTAACGTCGTCCGTATCTTTGTCTCATGGCTTCATCAACTTCACCGTAGCCGTACTTGGGATCGTGCAGTAGCCATTGAACGTTAGAATGCGAACTTTCCCTCACTGAGTGGTAAGTCCTGCAAGTTATTCGGGGATGCAAAATGTAACCAAGTCGATGATAAATTTTCAAAAATAGTCAACTCTTGAGCAAGTAACTTGTTCTGTAGGTCGATCGGCGAAATGCGCGGTGTATTGACATACATACGTTGAAGATGCTTTACACTCACTACTGTGGACGGTAGTAGTAGTAATGGAAAGTAGAAATAAAGCACGGTACCTCACTTTCCTTGGACGGACAAGAGATGGTCACCAAGCATCCGTTTTAGTTCTCCAAGAAGAACGTATTTCCCAATTTTGTAGCACATAGATCCCTTTAGACTACTTGGCGAACAGCATGGCTCCACATTGTTCGCAAGGGTCAGCGCGTTTCGCCGTATTACCCATTTCGTCGCGCGCATAAAGGAGTGCTTCACGTCGCTGGTGCTCAGACGCGATACATCTGCTCGCGAAAGCATGATGTTGTGGATCGTCGATGCAGTTCTTGGAGAATGTTGCGAATTCAAAATGTTATCCAGACGATCCCTCTTCGCCGAAAAAGTATCGAATCTGCGTTTTTTCTGATGGGTTTGACGTTTCCTGTTGGAGAATGGTTTGGGCTGGATGACGCTGAGTCGTGTCCCCGTGTTCATTGCAGCACTGTTGTTAGGTTGTCGTGCGCGTAGCATCTTCGCATTTACAGCCAATTTGCTCTGAGCATGCTATGCACGATTTTGGTCGTTCTTGCGCAAATCGCTGTCGTTCATTCATTGTCCTTCTTGGTTGTTGCTGTCCGTCCGAATAGTAATACCTAGCTCGGAGATTTTGAAGTGTAGTGTAGATGTCATTGGCAGTGGTGGTTGCGAGAACAGTGCAGAACTCTAGTTTGCACGTGTTGCAGCCGTGGATACATGCAATACTCGGGCCGACTTTGAACGTTACAAAGAGGTACTTGTTTACTTTCACGAAGGCGGTCTGCATATCGTGCTCTTGGTTGTTGATTCTTTGGACGAGGACACGCTTGCTTGTAATGCTGTTGATGTTCGTGAGTGTACAAATGTAGGAAGGATCTGAGGAACGGTTCTGTGTTCCGTACATGAAGGGACCCGCTGTGGAACCTGTTGTAGTAGACTTGGATGAGTCTGCGGTGCCCCCATGCTGCGTCAGCCTGTGTGGGGCTCTCTCTTTCTCCTCTGTCTGTCGTGCGTTTGTCCTGCGGATCTAATACAAGCAATCAACGAGACGTTCTAGTCACTGGACACAAATACGGGCATACCCGGCAATCACTCCGGCTCTAGGGGTGGTCAACACTCTAGAGTTTCTTTCTATCTCCATCGTCCTTGCAAGGAAACGAAAGAGCCCGTGCCAGCAACATGTCGGGAGGAGTCTCGCAGGAGGAGCTCGCTGCTAAAGGGACAATGCCAGATGTAGCGCTGCCGCGACCCCAACTTCTGCAGGCAGGTTTTAACCGTGAACCAGATCAACAACGCCCTACACGGGTGGCAACTCCTTTCAAACTCGATGGTACGTGAGAATGACAAATCGCTTATCAGAAGGTGTAGGTCCCCCCGATAGGCCATGGAGACGCTCGACGCCGTCTACAAGCCCGAAACGCAGGGAGAAGCACAACAGCTTTTTCACCGGTTTGAGCGGTACCAGGTCGACGTGATGGTAGATCCGAACGTGGCACTGCGTGAGTTGGAGAACATCCGCGACATGATCCAGGAATGCGGGGGCGCCGCCCTCGATGACCGGTTCGTGTTCACACGCTTCGTGAATGCCCTTCCCCAAGAGTACGAGGTCGCAAAAGAGAACCTCTCATCCGCTGAGAAGCTGACGAGGGGGGACCTCATGCGCGTGACGGGGACTCGCTACAACACGCTCTGCAGCCAGCGGGAGGCGGAGAAGAGCCACACGAGGGCAGCGGAACAGGCTTTCTTCACAGCCGACGGCGCCGGGAAGGACGAAAGTCGCAACCGCGCCCGCCGCAAGGGGAACAGCAACGGCAAAGGCAACGGCAACAAGAGCGGTGGGGGCGGGGCGGAGAAACGGGCATGCGTCCGGTGCTTCCGATGCGGAAAGAGAGGGCATCGGATCGCGGAATGCCCAACAAAGGAAAGGGACATTATCCGTTGCGAGGTTTGCAAGGGATTTGGCCACAAAAAGGACCGTTGCCCAGTGGAAGAAGAGAAAGCGGTAATAGCGGTCGAAATGTCGCAGGATGAGCTAGACGTTGCGTGCGAAGCCGTGTAAGGTAGGAAATCCACTATACCCAGCCCCAACACTCCACGCCCCCAGATGTAGGGGGGGCGACTTGAGTTCTTAAAACCTGTGCTTTCCAGATGTAGGGGAAAGCACTGACACTGACACGCACTCCCAGATGTAGGGGGGGTAGCGAAAAATTTCGTAGGTGTGCTCTCCAGATGTAGGGGAGGGTACCAACACGCACCCCCAGATGTGGGGGGGGTAGCGCATATATCTCACAGGTTTTCTCCCCAGAAAAAAGAGAGGAGGGCATCAGTATACGCCCTCCAGATGAAGGGGAGGGACGTACAGCAGTGGTTACACAACAGCGCGCCTCCAGATGTAGGGGGGGCAGCGCCAGCCGACGCACCCCAGACGTGGGGGGCAGTAGTTCCTTACCCGTGCACCTCCATATGTAGAGAGGGCAGCACGAGTCAACGCTCTCCAGATGCAGGGGAGGGCAGCAGTTCTTCACCGGCGCGTCCCCAGATGTAGGGGGGACGACGCGGGTCCACGCTCTCCAGATGTAGGGGAGGGCAACTTTTCTTCGCCGGCGCGCCTCCAGATGTAGGGGGGGCAACGCCGGTTAATGCTCTCCAGATGTAGGGGAGGGCGGCATTTCTTCACCGTGCGCGCCTCCAGATGTAGGGGGGGCAGCGTTGGGCTTTTCGGTTGGGCGGTTCTCCAGATGAAGGGGGGAGCTGCACAGTCATCACAGATCTCCGCCAACGCGCTTCCAGATGTAGGGGGGGCAGCGTGGGCATTTGTCGTTGTAGTCGGCGCGCTTACCAGGGTGGCGAGCAGCAGCAGGGGTTGTTGCGGGTGGGTGGGAGGAGCCGGAGTCCACTTGGCAATGAAGAGAAGACCCCCGCTGCGACCGACAAATCCGGTTGGTACCTGTAGCAGAGAATACTGGTAGCAATTTGACTTTTCTTGTGTTTCAGCTAGCGTTGGTATATTGATCTTTGTTTTTCCCTGAAAATGCTGAACCATCGATGTATTTTTAGTCCGCTTGGTATGTCGCGATGAAGGGGAATTGGAGTAGCTGAAATAAAATGCCAACGTAGCGCTGTGTTTGGCCTTCGTTTGTAGGGAATTGGAGTTGTTGAGATGACAACGATGATGTTTTATTTTGGCTGTCGTGAAATCATTGCGAGGGTTTTTGGCTCGGAGGCCGGGTTTTCCCTTGCAACGCCTTTTTTTTTTCTGTTTGGTTTTTCGGTGGTGTCCGAGTACGTTGAGCAACACACGGTGATGGTTAATTACTAGCGTGAGGAACCAGGGAGGGTGTTCGTGTGTGTGCATATATAGGAAGGATCTGAGGAACGGTTCTGTGTTCCGTACATGAAGGGACCCACTGTGGTACCTGTTGTAGTAGACTTGGATGAGTCTGCGGTGCCCCCATGCTGCGTCAGCCTGTGTGGGGCTCTCCCTTTCTCCTCTGTCTGTCGTGTGTTTGTCCTGCGGATCTAATACAAGCAATCAACGAGACTTTCTAGTCACTGGACACAAATACGGGCATACCCGGCAATCACTCCGGCTCTTGGAGTGGTCAACAGTTGACGGATGACCCACACATAGAGTTCGCTTGCATGTCTGCTACCCATATTCAAAAGCCTGTTGCGCAACGTTATTCAGGAGCGTGGACTGTGTGCGTGATAAAGAATTAGAAGCTGTGTACCTCGCTGTCATCTACGGTACAGCAGTTATACAGTGTGATGGGTGCATGTTACGTGGGACAGCAGCTGCTTGGGACACCATCATCAGTGCATTGATATGCCTGGACTCTCTGCATGTCGACGAGTGACCATTACCTGTAGTGGCACACACATAAAAGGTCGCAATACCCGTCTGTTGCACAGCAGAGGGAAGATAAGAGGTTGTGTGTATCATACGCAGTCTCGTGAATCACGTATCTTGTGTGCCTCGACGCTGTGTTGTTGTTGTGCATGTCACACGCTACATACATGTAGCATTATGCCCCGTGACCTGCAATGACACACCGGCAGAAGGGCACATGTTCGGTGTGCAGCAGTGGGTAGCTGTGCGGATCGCGCCGTTTTTACGTCAACAGACCTCGGGTTTCGTACTATAAATATTACGTATGACGTCTTAAAAAAATTCTAAGAAACACTGAAAAATTGTCGAGAAAAAATCTTTCTAGTATTTTTTTTTTTTTTTCTTAATATGACACAACGAGTCCATCTCTATCATAGAAAAGAGTCAGAGACAGATTAACAATGGAATCATAGCGTCAGAGAAAACTACCTGTGTGTCTACGAATTCCCAGACAGCATTAGGGACATCTCCCCTGTGGGTAACAGGCTCAACAAATCAGTTTGGTAGCTGTCTTGTGTGTCTCATATATGTTATGTTGGGAAGGTGCAGACGAAAGGTGTTGGGTACTGTTGGGTAGTCGGGCGTTTTGTGTGTCGCACCCTATTAGTTCTAACACATGCAATCTCCATCAGTTTACAAACATATTCTCAGTTTGGTATGCATATGTGCGGAGTATGTGCGGCTGATGTGCCATCTCTATCATAGAAAAGAGTCAGAGACAGATTAACAATGGAATCATAGGGTCAGAGAAAACTACCTGTATGTCTACGATTTCCTAGACAGCATATAGGGACAACTCTCGGGTGACAGGCTCAAAAGATCAGTTTGGTAGCTGTCTTGTGTGTCTCATATATGTTATGTTGTGGAATTTCATGTCGTTAAATGTGAGAAGGGCACGGAAGAACATTTCTCATCATTGCCTCCTGATGATGTGGTCGCCGATAGACGCGTGTGGTTGATGAGGTTTCATAACCGACATGTGGGTGTGTGTTAAATGCAGTGGGTGTGTTCACCTCTCTCGTCCGTGTGTAGGTAGGAGGTATGGCTACCTCTCCCATTTGTAGGCAGCGTGGACCATACTTGTAAATATAGTCTAGACAGAGTTCATCATTTCATGCATGTTACATCATTTGTGTTTGACAAGGGAGGAATGAGAGGTTGTGCGTATGGGTACGGGGGTACTCCCTGTGTCCGTGTTGTTCCCAGATGTTGCCGCATCAAGTGGCAGCATGTGTCATGGACAGGTAGACGTGGAAGGACGGCGACAGGTGACGGCAGCAGTAGTATGTTGTGCATGGCGGCATGTTGGGCTTGTGCAGAGGTGCAGTCCATCTTCGACCACACACAAAAAAGTTTGCTCGTACCTGTGGGGATTTTTTTCTTTCTAGTATTGTATTCTAGACTAGTCCGTTCGACGATGACATTCCTACGAACTGTATTACTTGACTGTAGACAGGAACTAGGTTGGTATTGCTTGGGTAAGTGCCGGTTGGTGTTTAAGCGATCGACCTAGGTTGGTTGGCTTGAATAGGTGCTACGTTGGTGTTGACGTGGGTAGGTGCAAGGTTGTGTAGGCATAGGTCCCTCTTAGGTGGTTGCGTCGAAAAAGAAAGGTGTGGGTGCACGGCTCATGTGCGTTCCCAGGGTACATCGAATATCTTCGACAGAAACATGTTTCATGGTACAGCATGCGCCTGGCGCCTAACTCGTATATCGCTGCAATGAGCGCCTCTGGTGATGCCTTGTGCATGCCGGATGCCTAAGCACGCTGTACGAGTGAGCCGTGTCCTTTTTTTAGGAGTCGGCAATTGCGATGTTGCAGAGGTGCCGTCAGGCCACCACGAGAGCACGTTGGGAATGCCACGAAAAATGACAGCTTGCTGCTTTTTCCCGGGCCGACGACTATTCCAAAGCAAATAACCAACCTCGCAAGATATTGATTTGGAGAGGGCATCAAGAGAACACCGGCCACCTGACCTGCTGTACGTATGTGTGTTGCCTGAAGTTCAGCAGCAGAAGAGGTATGTACCTTAACACTGTCACATCCTTCGTTTCAGCCTCAACCCAGCGCAACCCATCTCACCTACGGCAGTCATGGAAGCAGCTGTGCAGTACGTCGGCAGTAGTGTGGGCGTGCTTGCGAGGATGGAGGATGCCTTCGGAGCTCGTCCTTGGGAGCCCTGACAGCTGGCAGCTGGCAACTTGCGGAGAGAACGATGCCCGGAACACCGGAACCGGTTCGCGACGTCGCGAACCGGTTCTGCAAATTTCGATACCACGCGCCAGGCGCCAGGCAGGCATCGCTGATCGCTGACTCGCTCGCCACTTTTCTTTGCACCGTCGTCTGTGTCACCCAGATGATTCACCAGCCGGCAGGCACTGGCTTCGTTACTGTCGTGGTGTGGCTGCAGCCGTATGGCCCTTCGGTCGACAATTTTGCACCACCCTCTCGCACATCTCTCGCGCGTGGTGAGTTGACTGAGCGAGAGAGCCTCCAGCGGACCTGCGACGAAATGAAAATGTTGCTCTGGAGTCATGCCGTTAGATTCGTGTGGTTGGCTGTTCATGTTCAGGAAGAGGCCCGAAGGAAGCACTGCCAACATAGTTCGCCAGGGTAGGGTATCTTGAGTCCGAGGACTCGAAGAGAAGGTCAGAACACTCACCCGTCACGCAATTCAGATCACTCATCGATTCTCCGAAGAAACCAAGTAGAAACTCCTTGTACCTCCGTAATGTACCAATTGCAATCTCCGTGGGTCCATGCCCCATATTCAACCATCTTTATTATGCTACGAGTATATCTAACAGCCCCCCTGCTCGTATGTATCGTAATGATGATACGGCAAGTCAATACTAGACCCCGAGTGGGGGGAGTTTTTTCCGCGCGCACCATCACAACAGCATAACCCGTGCTGCGGAAAGTACCTGCAGTAGGCTGGGTCGTGCGCCCCCCGTGAATATGTGTTGCTTTTGTTTTGGTACACACACCCGAAATGTTGTTGATGCGATGTTGTTGATGCGAATCGTTGTTGTCAGCACTCCGTATGCGTTAATAAATGAAGAAGTAGAAAAAAATGCCCCACCACTCAGAACACAGCAGCAGCAGAATATTTGAAGTAGCACGCGAGTTGTCGCCGATCGCGAGCCCCTCCTCACTACGCCCTGTCGTGGTCTGCAAACCACACGCGAACACCCTCTGTGATATGCAGATAGTGAAAGCCGCGAGCTGTAGAGGAGGAGATGCGTGGTAGCTGGTCTGAACACGTGCCAAAGTTGGCCACTCGGTGTGGACGAGGTCAAAAAAAGAACACAGCAGCAGCAGAACCAAACCGACACACACGTGTCCCAAATGACAGTTGAAGGACGCCGCAAAGAGAGGACAAACCGGGTGTGAACGAGTGACTTAGGGGTTGGTGCAAGGAAACAACGACGCGAGAAGTGTTCACCTATTAGGAGTAGGCTTGGGCACTCGTTTTTTTTGCAGAACGTCGCCAATTGGCGCAGTTATCGATGAAACGGATTGTGAATAGAGTACATATCGGCACCGAACGCAGCGACGCGGGCACGAAATGAGAAACGCTTGGGTGCGGAATGATGGCCTTGTTACGCTACAGCTTGTGCACTTTTCCGCACCGAAAACGATCCTCAAACGGCTTGTTTATCGGTGCAAAGGTGGTGCGAACACACACACACACACACACACACACGGACATCAATTTGAGAACAGTAATTAATTCAGGGGTCGGGCTGACAGGCGGTGTGATTCAACGTGCGCGGAACCCAGGCGGGGAAACAAAAAGGACCCATCTAAAACAGTTTTTTTGCGAAAAAAAAACTCCGCTATCGCTCCGTTTTTTTTTTCGCACGCGCGCTTCGCGCGCGGAAAAACTCCTAATATTCAATGTACGACCCAAAACGTGAATCCTACTCCTCCATGACAAACAAACAACCAAGAACTCGATTGTGCAAATGTTCCTGAACCCACAACGTCTTGCCTCATCGCCTTGATTCCTTCCCTGCAAAACGCTCTTGTTCTGGTGCATCCTTTCTCAGCACTTCGCCGCAACGACACCCGCAAAGTGCACAACTCAACGCGGTAAACAATCCATTGAACCAAACCTATCTGTGGAACTCCTCTTCATTTACTTTCCAAACACGGATCAATTCGTAGAAAATCGCCTTCTTTGTTGTGCGTCTGATTACATCCATCCGACTACGAATGCCACCAAGACAAAACAAACTTTTGCATAGAACAAACGTACACGTTTCATGCTCACTTCGCATGTAAAACGCTTCTGGGCATGGTGTGAATCCTCTACTCTCACACTTTTCCGATCAACCAACATACCTCCCCAAACATTCGTTCAGCGTTGAGATCATTTGAGCAGAAAATACGCGAGTATTTTTCCTATTGTTTCTCTCTACAAACTTCGCACCAGCTACAGTAAATTCCCTCCGAAAGAACACCGTGCCCCCCTGCTCTGGGAGATCCGCACCCTGATTTTTGAAGGGGTCGGAGATCTGAACCACAGACCAAAAGAACAACATTCAATATTCGTTCAGTCGAAACCTAAGAAAAACAATCCTGCTGCAAATAAATCCCGACGAAACACCAAAACCAAAGCAAATCCAATGCCGAAACAACGTTCGCAAATCCGAATGCTAGAAACCAATCCAGTACCAAGGCCAACATCCAATCCAACATAAAATCCAATCCAATACCAAAACAAAACATTCGAAAACCCTCCAACTCGATACAAAAACAGTTTACACTCGAAACCCCGCATTTGCGCGCATCAAGCTCCAGCGCTAAACCCATTGCCCAAGCCTATTGTTTCTCCCCCCCCCAGCGGATATTTCGCACGCCTTCGCCGCGGTCGCCTTCCGCCTTTCATCCTTTCTGGCTGGCCGCGACTCGAGCTTGGATGTTTGCGTCCGCCTGAAGTGGGGGAAGAGCAATTGTCGCTCCCGGGGGATTGACTCGGCGGTGGTGCAGCGCAAGTTGCGCGTTTGGCGGGGAAGATGGCGGCAGAATAGTTCCGAACAAACCAGCAGTACTGAGGAGAATCCCATTCTACCAACATTTCCCCCGGTTCTGCGCAGTAGTGACTGCAGCAGGAAAAGCAACAAATGAAACACACTTTCAAGTCGTCGGACCCTATTTGTGGAATGGTTTGTCTGAAATTACCGATCACTGCGACATTCCACTCAATAAATAGCTGAATATCATCCTGAACCCGAGGTTGATCAGTCCTCGATCACAAAATAATAATACAGCCGCTGCTCCTGTTCTAACCATAGGGTCATCAATCCTGAGTCAAAACCTTAACATCTTTGGAACCGCAATCTCACAGCAAATAGCAACCTCAAGACAATGTATAACAATATTCGGAAATCAGCATTTATTCGTCAATATTGTGGATTTTTCATCTGCAACAAGGTGGAGGTACCAATCAATGTTGCAAGTCGCTGAGACTTCACACGTCTCCGGCACTCGCTGACACAACCAAGACACGAACAGTTTTTGATCAGGTTAAACCTGCTACCCAAAGAGAGTCCAGGTAAAACGTTGGTCACGCATTTTTGATCAGGCTACACCTGCTGCTCAAAAAGTAGCTACCAAAAAGCGCCCAGATAAATCGTTGATCGCGCTGTTGCCGGGGAGAGAAAGTTGATCTCAGCACGGCTGTCAGGAAGACAAAGCACAAAACCTCGCCAATCGCTGCATCACATTACGCACAATACTATTTCTAGTACCATGCTACACACACATCGTATCATCAGTTTAGAAACTGCATCAGTTTTTGAGGATTACTGGTAACCTAGGTTGGGTCTACCCATTTGCTACAGGTAGTCGGCCTTTGACCGAGTGGTGGAGTTGGACGGCAGTACCGCACGACTTATGGTCGCGTTTTGATTGAGAAAGAGTCCGAGTTTGTCGGCATTACCGCGCGGCGTATTGCCGCGATTATACTAGAGAAAGAGTAGGAGCGAGAGGTGCTTGACGGCAGTGCCGGTGGAGGTGGAGGTGGAGTTAGTGTTGGCGTTTGACGGCAGTGCCGCACGGTGTAATGCCGCGTTTAGAATCTGACGGCTCTATGTAGGCGTACCGCATCACCGCATGGGTGTACACATAACGACAGCCGTCCAAAACTGACAAGTCCTCACGTGCCTGTTCATGCTTACAACCCCAGTAGACGACGGGGCGCAGCTGACGATGGCGCTGCTGTAGGTCTTGGTGCTGCTGCCGTGAAGGCCCTCGCCGTTGGTGGCCTCTTCGTCTGGTTGGGTGTCCTCAGCCGCGCATGCGGCTGCCCATCGGTGCTACCTTTCTCTGGTTGGCTCTTACTCAATCACCCTCGACAAAGTCGTTCAACGCTAGCGTGTTTGGTAAACCGGGTAGGCCGAAGCTTGTAGCTTTGTGGGGAAAGGCAGTTCGGCCAGTAACGGCCGAGATGGGAAAGTGTTTTATTGGAGGGAAGAGGGGACAGCAGAGAACACTTGAGTCCGACGACCCGAAGAGAAGGTCAGAACACTCATCCGTCACGCAATTCAGATCACTCATCGAATATCCGAAGAAACCAAGTAGAAACTCCCTGTTCCTCCGCAATGTACCAATTGCAATCTCCGTAGATCCATGTCCCATATTCACCCATCTTTACTATGCTACGAGTATATCTAACACGTGGTATCGTAGACTATGTCATTTTCTTCGTTGGACTGTTGTCATATCTCGAATGGGTAGTCTTTCTTTGTGCTTGTATTTTTATGTTTCCTAACACATGTAACTTCTTGCAGGACGAAAAGTTCAAGATACTACGCCAGGCCGATGACCGTTGCTCCCACGCACTGACCTGCTACAATATTTTTCAGGAGTTTGCGCTCAGCACCCACCTCCCTGCTCGCCTTCTTGATGGTTTTTCCGGTCAGGCGGCTTCACATGGCGGAGGCGGCGCAGGCGACAAACGTATCAAAAGAGAGCGTGGCCTGCACTGATCTACAACTCCCTGGCATGGTGCTCCTCTGGCATTCCGCGTGGAAGCGGTGCACCCCGGCGAAGCTCAAGGGTGTTTTTTCGGGGTCAAATGGTGCACCGTGCAGAGGAGCGACACTTGGTCGGGGTCTTTACATGTGCTCTACTGGTCACGCCTGGTAAAGTGATCACCACAAGGTGTTTTCACCAGATGCATTTATGCCTCCTGTAGCCGATGGGTAAAGAGTATTCTGCGTTGAAGAGTGTTTTGCGTGAAACGGCCAGTCCTAGTTGCGCTCGCACACGATTTGGTCGCTATTCGTGTGGATACTAAGCGTGTACGCATGTACACCCGTCTTTCGCCAGGAACGACTTCGTTTTGCTACACGGTACATTTTTGAGTTATCTCAGCGATATTGTAGCGCTCGGTGCCTGCATCGGCACAGCGGGGTGGTGTTGCCTTCGAAAGCAGTTGTTTAAAAGGTTCGGGGTCTCGCGACGGATTCGTAAGGGGGAACGTTCCGGCGATGAGGCTCAAGCCAAATGACGAACGAAACAAAGCAGAGCCTCAACAGAACCACCCAGCAAAGAATACATCCTATTCGGTCATCACATTCTCAACTCCCTTCAAGCAAATACTGAGCAATTGCCAAAACGCAATATCCCATTTAGGTGTCCTAGCGATTGGGTGACGCACCGTGAGCCTGGCACAGTCCGCGGTTCCAGAAATCGTTCCGGGAATCGGGTCGCTAGTCTCCATCATTCACTTTTTCTATTGCCGATCGTATTCAGGGAAGGTGTAGCTAGCAAGTAGCATGCTTCCCCGTTGCCCTCTTGTCGATTCTGACATAGGTGTCGTTTGCGCCTTGCAGTAGCCCACGGCGTATCCTGTCCGAACGAGGACCATTCCGACGTCGAAAACAGTACCGAGGAGGGGGTCACACGCAAGGGAAACAACCCCCTGATGAGCAACAATAATCCGTCGTCCGATCGAAACCCTGGCAGTTTGAATGCAAGCGGCGAGGTCAAGCCGGCCACTAGGATTGCGAAAGCTCGCATCGGCTCCGAGGGGCAAGGAGTTTGCTTGCGCGACTGAACAAGGCTCCAGGAAGGCTGAGACCGGTCCTCGCAGTCGTGCCAAGCACGAGATGAGCGACAAAGCGGTGCGAGAGAGATCTTCGCTTCGGTTGTGGTAGCGTTCGGTGGAGCACCAGCCATTTTCAAGCTTGGCCACGCACGAAACGACTTCAAAAACATTATAACACATACACCATGTCAACAACTATTCATTTGAGATATAGCGTCTCAATAAATTCGTGTTGTTCGACCCCGTTACAACTGATTTGTTGCCGTTGTTAAATTCTTGTCAGATTTTTCCTTTGTCGCCCTTTCTCTGCCGTTTGTTGTGGATCCAACCTGCTGATCAAATGGTCAGCCCAGGGCAAACTCATCCCTTTCAACACCACAGCCGAGGCAATACTACTGCTGGCGCGTCGATCATCACGTGCTGCCTGCAACTGAAGACCCGAACGTGCGCTGTTCGCGAACTTTACAGAACCGAAAGCTGTTGATGCAAAGGCGAGAGTTTGACGCTATTTCAACACGCTTGCTATATTGCTGGCACCGAGTCGACAAGGTGGAGAGTGAATGGCACATGTGAAGGAAATTCGTTTACTGATATGCATAGGTAGGTGCTCTGCCGACATGGCGGATGTCAAGAAAGAGGACTGAGCGTCACCGGTACTACTATCATAATGGATAGCAGAGCATTGACACAGTATCACCCTGTGGGGAGGAGGGTAGATAATTGCTTGTGTGGGCCTGGCGGATGCGTTGTTCCGGGGAATAATTCGAGTAGGGATCGTCTTCAGGTAGGTGTGATAGTTGATAGAGGCACAGGGAGGCAAACAGTGAACAACGCGGTTGGAGAGGCAGTAGGTTATTGCCGACATGAGCATGAACAGTGTCGGCTGGCGTCCCGGCATTCCCTTTGGTGGAGAGGCGAGGTGGTGGGGTCTTGTTAGCCAAGGTTGTTGGGGCAGAGGGACGTTTATATTACGGTCCATGAGCAACTCCACGGCAGGAAGGCCACTGTTCTTGTCGTACGCAATGCCATGAATGTCCCAAGTACCATTCCTTGTATCTGTGAACGTGCCAATGGAGTTTCCGGATGGTCCCACGCGGTCATAAGTGAATGCTCGTGTCTGCGCGGCGGCCCATGCAAAAACCCTAACCCTTACCCTGATCCAACAAGTCGGGTTTGCTAAATTCGAACCTACTTATCATACCCAGGCACCTTTAGCTTAACATGCCATCTCCGTCGATTGTTCGCTCCCTTGGCCTGTCGAGCATCGCGTTGCAGTCACACTAGACAAGCAGCGACATGATACATGATGACATGCTCCGACACATAATCCGCCATTAAACTTGCCCTCCACGCACCCTCCGGTGAGTGTCGTCCCTCAGCAAAATACAACATGAGAGACAGGTGTGGTTCGTCACCCAGTTACCCGGTGACGTGCAGCGAAACACGGTCTGCATCATCCGTTGCAACGCACAGCTTACGGCGACCATCTAAAGTGGAATGCACACCACTCTTACGCCCACGTTTGAACGTCGAATCAGCAGGGAATGTGCGTACTGCTCGAGTATCTTATCTTGATTCTGCGACTTCCCTGGGTTAGTTGTCTTGCCGCCATACACAAGTTCCATCGTTGGTACGGAAAATTTCACAACGTCTCGAAGGCTCCGCGCCAGGAAACTGATCTACCTATGCAGCACCATGGCTGCGCCAGACCTTTCCCACGATCGTCGCTCTGCTGGTCCCAAAGAAAACGATGCCACTTTCGACCGCATGTCATGAAAGCACAAGAAAATACACAGAGAGGATCGCCAAATCGACACGATTGGGCGCAATGGTCATCCTCGTTTACAGCGGTGGGGTTGTCAAGCACGCAGGAGATAAATGATGCACCTAGATGCGTTCCCTTCTTTCTCACGATGGAATTCCTAGTCTACCTTGCTGAACGTAGGATCCGCACGCCCTGCGGCGTTCGTCGACAGCAGTCAAAGCAGACTATGTCCGATACGGGTCAGACTTCGTAGCGAGGCCGGCCAAACTACTCCGTCCACGGATTGATCAAATCCAATCCCGAATGACAGCTGCTGCATGGAGACTGGCCATACGACTCCGACTACGGGCTGGTTAAAGAAATGCCCAAACGACAAGTGTTGCAGGGAGGCCGGCCACACGACATCAACAATCGGCTGGTTGAATGTAGAAGTAAACGAAAGTCGTCGTAGGGAGGCCGGCCACACGACTCCGACCACAGGCTGGTTGAAGATACGCCCAAATGACAAGTGTTGCAGGGAGGCCGGCCACACAGCTCCGACGATGGGTTGGTTGAACATCCAACCAAACGAAAGCCGCCGCAGGGAGGCCGGCCACACGACTCCGATGACGGGTTGGTTGAAACAAAATCCAAACGATAACTGCTGCAGGGACGCCGGAAACACGTTTCCGACGATAGGATGGTTGAATGGATATCCGAACGATAACTGCAGCAGGGAGGTCGACCACGCAACTCCGACAACGGGTCGATTGAAGTTGTGCCCAAACGATAGCTGCTCCAGGGAGGCTGGCCATACGACTCCGGCGATGGGCTGGTTGAACGTACCCCAAAACGTCAGCTGTTGCAGGGAGGGCGGCCACACGGCTCCGACGACATGCCGGTTGAATCCCGATCCTAACGATAATCTTTGTAGGGAAGCCGGCCACACGACACCGATAATGGGCTGATTGAACATTGGACCAAAAGATAAGTGCCACAAGGCAACTGGCCATACAGCTCCGACGATGGGCTGGTTGAACTCACGACCAAACGAAAGCCGCTGCAGGGAGGCCGGCCACGCGACTCCGATGATGGGCTGATTGAACATTGGACCAAAAGATAAGTGCCACAAGGCAACTGGCCATACAGCTCCGACGATGGGCTGGTTGAACTCACGACCAAACGAAAGCCGCTGCAGGGAGGCCGGCCACGCGACTCCGATGATGGGCTGATTGAACATTGGACCAAAAGATAAGTGCCACAAGGCAACTGGCCATACAGCTCCGACGATGGGCTGGTTGAACTCACGACCAAACGAAAGCCGCTGCAGGGAGGCCGGCCACGCGACTCCGATGATGGGCTGGTTGAAGAAATCCCCAAACGACAGCTCCTGAAGGCAGGCAGGCCACGACACCGAGTTCACGGACCTTTCCGAATAAAACATCAACCGCGTGAGCTTTTGAAACCAACCCATGCGGCCTGGGCTTGTTGCAGATGAAGGTCCCGTTGGTTGACGATTTTCTGACACTTGGTGCAGCTCAGTGGCAGACCTCGGCAGTAGAATCTCCATAGGAAGTGCCCACATCCAACCATTAGCCTGCACAGCCGGCACTCGGCTCGGGATGCAAGCCTCTCGGCTGCGCTTTTTGAGTGTCCCGTGTGATTTGCGAGGAGACCACAAGCTATGAGGCGTTTGTCGATGGATCTGCACGTCGAAGCTAAGGGCACTTCTGCAAGCCCCACAAAACTCCAGTGACACAAGCTGTAGCTCCAGCGTAGATACATACCAACGCTTTGCTCGCCCATCGCCAGCCTGCTTCAACGCGACGATGAACGCGTCCAGGCACTCGCTCCTGCCTGAGACAAGTGGATGGTATATATACACGTAGGAGTGACGATGAAAAAGGTTGTTGAGCTTGAGACTGTTTCTTGCCACGCGAATGAGTAGGTGAAGTCGGAAACAAGGGAAGCAGAAGAAGAGGTGGGATGTCCGAGTTGATACCAACATACATCAACAAACCCAGCCCTTGATGATCAAGCACATCGGCACCCGGTGATTCAACCACCTGGTCATGTCTGTTCATGCTCAACATCCTTCACAACTATAGGTTGGGCCGGGCGCGTACCATGCGGTAGGCTATTCTACAAGGCTCATGGCGAAACAGGGAACTTGGTTCTTCGATGTGAAAATTCATGAAGTGAGTCCTTTGCATGCACCTTGAGCTAACGATTGAAATCGCACGGTTATACAGACACATTGAAGTCACTCAGGCTCTTCGCCACTGTTCCTAGTGATGCAAGAAAAAGTAGTCAACCCCGGAAGCTTGACAATGAACATCTCTTCCTTCGTGTGCCTGTAACGTCACAGACGATCAGCCTCTCGAAATTCAAGAGTTAATGATCCCTCCCGGTGTTCAAGGGTATTTCCTCCACCCAGAGCGGGGACAAACGTTCATGCACTGTATGTGTGGGTTTGGTGTTCATACATCGGGCAAGCGTCGGGTTCCGACGCTGCAAATCTGCTCGTGGCAAGAAAATCTCGTGCCTCGCCTTGTTATAAGGATTGGCCGCATTCAAGCGTTTTATTCAAAATCAGACTCTGGACGACAGTAGTTGAGTTCCGCTGAAGCGCAGGTAGCTGGGAATACATGTGCATGTACTTCAACATGCACAATCGCCCACACCGTGCCACCAGATAAGTACAAGTCTCTATGGAAAATAATGTTTGGAATACCATCCATGGATGAAAGGTGTGCCGGGTTTTCATTGGGTCAAACACCGCTTAACTGCAGAATAAGTACAATAGGCGAGGAGTTCCAGAAAAAGCACGGAATAGACTGAACGGATTGCTTTGGCGGTAGGTACGAGTTCGTTGTAGAAACGGGAGACACCCGCACCCCGCCAGCGGGCATTTATGTGGCTCTGTCGGGTACCTCGACACCAAGCGGCCATGTCATCCCCCAAGTTAAACGCGAAGAGGGTCGTTTTGTGCGTGAGATTTGGGCGTCGCACCCCATGTTGCCTTGGATGGGCCGCAGTTCGGAGGGCTGAGTCTGTAAGGATGGGTCCCAACGGAACGTTGGAATGTCGAATATGCATCCATACTTACGGATTCAAGCAAATCCGGACTTGGCTGAACCACAACCATAGTTGGTGAGTGGTGGCTACTCGCACGCACGGTGCTTGACCATGTACCACATTCCACACGAACTCCATGCACTGTCTTTCACCGGCGAGCAGAGAGAGAAGACCAAAAGCCAGCCTCTAGGGTGTCTTCGCGTCGGTATTGAACATGACCGGCGCGGAAAAAAAGTGTGTGTGGGCATGTTGGTGTGTACGACATGCTCTCGCGTGTTGTCGAACCTCAAACTCATGGACCAATTCGTTGCTTTGGGTCGCATCAGGTTGGATTGATAATCTCGTATGTACCGACACGGTGTGCTCACACAGGGGTGTCACGTTCGCGTTGGTTTGGGCTCTTCAAAAGGGTTAGATTCCCGTGTGGTGTGGATATGTCACAACGATAGCAATCGGGCAATTGGAAAACGGCGGACCATGAGGGTGACTGAGCCATTCGTTTGACAGAAGAATGTTCGTTTCTTTCATTTATTTTTTTGGTCTTCACTTCAAATCGGTGCTCACAGCACTATTAGTGTCGTTTACTCCAACCCGTGGTCATACAGCAGAGTTCCTCTCTATCCTCCCCTCCTGCGGTACTCTGCCTTCGTTTTTAATGCGAGAAGAGTTCAGCACTCTCTTCCCTCTGTGTACACACGAACTAGCGCTATACACTAGACCAGGAGCGGAACCGAGAGAAAAACTCGCTTTGCAAGAAAAGCTTGCTTACGCCAGGATTCGAACCCCTGAACTGACCTCTAGAAGGTTCGAGGTTACCAACTAGACCACCGGGGCGACCGGTCATTGGAGATCGACAATTTTCTTGAAACTCTGGGAGTTGAGTTTGAAATACAGCAGATCCAGCTCCTTAGTAGCTATTTGATATTTGCAAGCCCGCACCGATAGGGGTGGCTGTTTGTTTCGAAATATATGAGCTGTTTGGAGGGATAGTACAGGTGATGTTCGTGCCAAACAATCAACCAATCTCCTAGAAGGGGCGTGAAAAACACGCCACCTGTGAACGTGTGTGTGAGCCTGTCTGACGGGCCATAAATACCCATGAGATTGGAGTCCATTCAACAAGTAGGCACCAAATTCCAAGCCAAGACTTGTGCCCAACAAGTAATATTTTCACCGAGCTATCACAACTGCTTCATTCTCAACCCGTGCTCAGTGCGTCGAGTTACCAGAGCATCAATGCCGAACGTGAAGTCGGGAAGCGCACTTCTCCGGCAAAGGAACAGACTGAGACGTGACTTCGTAGCACCAATTCTGCTGCTGGTTGAAACGCAGAGAGGGACAGGGACATGGACGACGGCGAAGTGAGACACAAACCAAGCAGAGAGGACTGGAGAGTGTGGCCCATACTGCTGCTGACAGATGACGGCGGAGGAAGCAAGAGGAGAGAAGCGTTTGGTTGTCGGTCTCGGTTCAGCCGTCCGTTGTGTTGGGGTTGTATTCACGAGTAGCGAGCGTTATTTTCGTGATCAACGATTGGAGAGACGCACACCAACAACACGTTCCCAGACACCGCCATTGTTGATGCATGTGCTGTACACTTACCTCTACACTTGTGTGCGAGAGAGTGTGGCCTGTACTACTACTGCTGATGGCTAACGGCGGCGGAAGCGCGAGGAGACAGGCGTTTGGTCTTCATTCAACTTGTGAGTTGTTAGGTGTTTTCAAGAGCACCGAGCATTTCATATCTGATTGGCGATCTTGGAGAGAGTCACATCAACACGCTCCTAGACACCACCATTGTTGATGCATGAACTGCTGTACAACTCTCTACACATGTGTCCGAGGACCTACAGTAGTGTCCGACCGGTGGCTTTCTTGCTACTCTGGTCAGCCATCAACGTTTTTGAATTGTCTGTCAAACACGAAAGATGTTGCCTGGTTGTCCTTTAATATAGACCCGTGGAATTTTCATCTTGCTTCGAAAACAGTGCTGTGGAGGTATACGACTGTGCAGCAGCATGTTGTTGCTTTTGGAGACAAGCCCCAGCCGCTGCTCTGTAGGACAACTGAAGTTGTTTTTTGGTCAGTCTCACATGTCACGCTCATGATTGACAAGGGTTTCCTTTCGATTCGATGCGAAATCAGTCTACAGCAGCACTGGTGTGGAGCCAAATCGTTTGTCAAGACACGTGTTAGGATGTTTGCTTGGTATGCGCCTGGCGCCTGACTCGATATTCGCTGCCATGAGCGCCTACGGTGATGCCTTGAGCATGTAGGATGCCTAACAAGCCCTCTAAGAGTGTCTCACGTGATGTTTTTATGGAGGCGGCGATTCGGCGCTTGCGATGTTGCCGAGGTGCCGACAGGTAACCAAGACACCACTTTTGAAGCTTCTTAGATTGGCAACTTGCTGCTTTTACCCGAGTCGACCGCTGCTGTTCTACAGGCAAACAGCCTCACAACACATTTGGAGGGGGAATGACGGCATGAACCCCACCTACCTCTTCCCAAACAGCAATTGTGAAAGAAAAGATGGCCTGTCCCACCGGACGAAAGGTCATGGGGGTCAAAGGAGCACCGGGCACTTGCGTGTGTTGCCTGAAGTTTCATCGTAAACTTCGAATATCAGCCTTAGTCTATGTACGTCGTCTGGACAATCTCATTCGTTTCAACCTCATCCCAGCGCAACCTGTCTCACCTACGGTGGCCATGGCAGCCGCTGTGCAGTACACCAACCGCAGTGTGGGCGTGCTTGCGGGGGGCACAGGACGCCTTCGGGTTTGGTCTTTGGGAGCCCTGGCAGCTGGCAGCTGGCAGTTGGCAAATTGCGGTGCTGCGGTGTAAACGTGTACATAAACGGTAAACGATGTCCGGAACGCCGGAACCGGTTCTGCCCCCGAACCATTCCATGCCACGATGCCACGTGCCAGGCAGCATCGCTGATCGCCGACTCGCTCGCCACTTTTCTTTGCACGGTCGTCTGTGTCACCCAGCTGGTCTCACCAGCCGGCAGGCACCGGCTTCGTTAACGGCGTGGCGTGGCTGCAGCCGTATGGTCGTTTGGTCGACAAATTTTGTACCACCTGTCGCACGTGATGAGTTGACAAAGCGAGTGAGAATCTTCGAGGAATCTGCGACGGAATGCTGTTGATAGTGTTCCTCTCGAGTCATGCCGTTAGCTTCGTGTGGTTGGCTACTCATGTTCAACAAGATGCCCGAACGAGAACATCGCCAGCATATGTTGTCCAGGGTAGAGTTCGTTTCGGCCGGCGCAATGGTTTGCAGGGCAAGCAGATGAACTTAGCACTTGTAATCAAGGTACTGTTATAGTGGGGTAGGTCTACTCTGGGATGGCTGTAACTTCTTCCAGGTTGCAATATTCAGTGTTTCACGCCGGCGATCAAGATTGGCCTGCTCCGTGACCTGCTACTTTTTTCGTCGGGAAGTTGCGCTCCGCACCCACGACAAATTCTCCACCCGCACCTTCCTCCCTGCTCGCCTTCTAGTTTTCCGGTGCGCAGAAGGAGCAGCGGGTTCCCGCAGCCGTGACGGCGGTGCACGTGACGAAGTATCGAAAGAAAGCGTGGCCTGCACTGATTTGCAAATGCGGATTCGCTGGCATGGCGCTGAGGGTATCCCACATTAAAGAGGTCAATCCTGACGATGCTCAAAGAGGTTCGGGATCGCATGGTGCACCATTCCGAGGAGAAGGACCGTGCTCAGCATCACACATGAAGAGGTTCCGAATCTCATGAGCACACGGTGCGTTCACTACATACAGTAGTGGTGATCCTTGCGTCGTGTAGAAATCTATCTAGACTAGACCTAGAGAAAGTTGCATCGAAGAGCGCCTTGCGTGGTTTCGTTGATCCTAGCCGCACTCGTACGCGATTTGCTCGCAATCCTTGAATACGAAGCATGCATTCACCCTCTTTTGCTAACAACGGCTTCATTCTGCTACACTGCTGTATATCGCGGATCTGAGCGATGTTGTACCAGTGGGTGCCCGCACCGG